ATATATATATATATATATATATATATACAGTTGAAGTCAGAATTATTAGCCCCCCTAAATTATTAGACTGCTTGTTTATTTTTTCCCCAATTTCTGTTTAACCGAGAGAAGATTTTTTCAACACATTTCTGAACATAATAATTTTAAAACCTCATTTCTAATAACCGATTTATTTTATCTTTACCATGATGACTGTAAATAATATTTTACTAGATATTTTTCAAGATACTTCCATACAGCTTAAAGGGCCATGAAACCCCCTCGTTTCAGCAGGGTGTTTTCACACCTCTACTTTGGAAAAAGTCAGAAAAGTGGGCGTGTCCAGCTTTGTTTAGGGGGGAGTGTCGAAGGAAGAAAAGAGGCTTGGTGTGGGAGTGTCTATTTGGGCGCGCTGAATTTCAGAGTCAAAACACACACCCACAGCGGACAATGTGACTGTGTTTACATGGACATCAGTTGTCGAATTATTTGCCAAATTATGAAATGGTGGACTTTAACTGCAGTTTGGCTCTTTCATTCAGGGAATTCATTCATGCCCCTAGCGAGAAACGAGATATTTGATTTGAGGAACTGTTCTTAGCGTGTATTTTCATGCAATGTTTGATACCGCACGGCGAATGAGAGAAAAAAAAACTCAGCATTTCCAGGAAACTTAGATGCACACGGCAGGTAGCGTCAGAAAGCCGCGTGTGTTATTCAGGTCACAAAATCCTAAACGAGGTTATAGTTTGGTTGTAGTGCTAACTTGTTTACACTCGGTGCAATAGTTTTTTTTCGATACGAATAAAATACGAACTGAATAAACAAAGAGCACTGGTCGCTTACTTACCAAATCTATAGAGGCAGGACAATCCACAGCAACTAGAGCCGCGTCTTTATTAAAAGGAGACTACAAGCGAATCCGGATCGCGTACACTGTAATCCACACATGACGCCAGCTGCGCTCTCACAGAGAGAAAATGAAAACAAAACTTAACGGCAGCAAACTATAAAAGCAACACTTCACGCTTGTTTTGCCAACATAACGTGGCTTCTTTGTCGTCTAAACACTGTGACAGTAATGAATATTAATGAAGTTGCACAATAGAGCGCGCTGATTGGTTTGAACCAAGCTTTACTCATGCATTAATGCAGCAGGCTGTAAGACGTAATAAGACACACTCTGGCTCAGACGTCCAGTCTGCACGCTGGAATACACGCTATTATGTCATGACCGTGATGCAGCTTCAAAAATTCGTTTCAAACCGAAAGTAAGAATTTGCTTAAAATAACGCAAAAACAACCAATTTACACTTTTTAGTGAAATATAGGTGACCTAATAGTGTTTTTAGCAGTGTGGGACACATACGTCTGTCAACAGCTCAAGCAATGTGTTTTGGTGTTTCGTGACCCTTTAAATTGACATTTAAAGGCTTAACTAGGTTAATTAAGTTAAGTAGGCAGGTTAGGGGAATTAGGCAAGTTATTGTATAATGATGGTTTGTTCTGTAGATTATCGAGAAAAATATAGCTTAACGGGGCTAAAACTTTTGTCCCTAAAATGGTTCATAAAAAATACAAAACTGCTTTTATTCTAGCCGAAATAAAACAAAGAAGACTTTCTTCAGAAGGAAAAATATTATCAGACATACTTTGAAAATGTCCTTGCTCTGTTAAACATCATTTGAAAAATAATTAAAAAAGAAGAAAAAGATTGAAGGGGGCTCATAATTCTGACTTCAATTGTATATGACGAAAATAATTCTATAAATAAAATTGTCATTTGTAACGTTGCCATCATTTGTAATTATGTGTTTTGTTTATTTTAGAATCACTTCTAAGAAGTAATATTTACAGAGAGATAGATGCATACACTTATATACTTTTGTCTTTTCTGATCATTTTTCACACAAAAATGATCAGAAAATTAGAACACCTATTTTTGACTTCCTCCTGACTCCTTTGTGACTTGATCCAGACCAAATTATTTTGGTGACCATCCTGTACTTTCTTTCTCAGTATTGATATTGTATACTTGTAACCAGTGAAGAGTCACACAAGAGCTCAGATTTCAGCTGAACTCCCTCTCAGCCTGTAGATTTATATTCTTCTCTGTGTTAAAAGGCTGTTTACTGGAGAGAGTATATGCCAGAAGTCAAGCAGGAGAGCAACGGGGTGAGATGAATTAATGTATAAACTGTGTAGCACATTGCATAGAGATTGTTAGGTCACTCGGCTCATTGTAAATGCAGCATTGGCCAGCGCTGACCTTGGCACGGACCAACAAATCCACTGTAAGCCCAGCGTTATCAACAAAACCACCACAGTGCAACTTGATTGAATCTACATACTGACCTTCATTCAGTAACCAGTGTAAATGCAGAACACCACCCACAGCAGCACAAATGACCTAATAACTCTACTGAGAGAGTCAATGTTGTGCAAATGTAATCGAACGCTTGTGTGTGTTCTGTACAGAGGGCACACTTTTTAGTGGGCACTTACCAAAGCCAGCACTCAGAAATTAATTTCTCATCGATCTGTCTCTGTACTTGGATAAGAGAGCTCAAATCGCCCTTGGAGGAAGTGATTAGCTTGATCGTGTAGAGTAGTGGACCTCCGAATAACCGTTGCTTGTTTCCAAATTACCTTAAGTGAAACTGAAAAATATGTTTAACGGTTGTGCATCCTAAATATTTAGAGCAGCATTGGGTTCAAACAGTTACAAATTAACTATTTACTGTATTTAAATTACTTTTCTATTGGAAAAAAAACAAGGGTTTACTGTTTATTTTTAGGTCATTTAAAGGTGACCTATTATGCAAAAATCACTTTTTTAAGGGGGATAAACAGTTGTGTAGCAAGATTCTGTGAATATAACCAGCTTAGTAGTAAAAATGTATACAATTTATTTTTTTATAATCATTCTTCATAAAAACAGTCTGCAGAAACACGTTGATTGACATTCTCCCTTTGTACATGTCATCAAAGGGGGAAACCCTGCCCAGTATTGCCGATCTCTCCCTCTTAAGGATAGAACATTAGTCTTGTTTTTGAATCTGCCACTATGCTAACACACAGGCATTTGCAGCTCTACCTTTTTTGAGATCTCATTTGAATACAAAGCTACAGTCTTAAAAATGGCACAATTGGGATCAAAGCTTAAAAGGGGCACTTTCAAAAAGTTATTTAAACATTTTTATGGGGTTATATAGACATATATAATTTATTTTTTTTAAGTATTTCTATTTTTCAACTAAAGAACATTTATCAAGACAATTGCATATGCTTAAGAAAAAAATTCATGACCATGTAAGATATCAATAATAATTTGTTGATTTTTTTTTTTTTTTTTTTTTTGTCTTGTTTCTAGTCCAAATATTTTAAAAATCCTTAAATCATGAAGCATTTTCTGAACAAGAAAAAAAAAATTAAGCAAAATTCAGTGAGGTTTTCCTTCAGAAAACAATCAAAAAACAAGTTTATTTAGCTTGGTTTGAGGAAAACCTCAATTCTGGCATATTATTCTTTTAAACAATAAGAAAATTTTTCTTGATTTAAGAATTTTTACATATTTGGGCTAAAAACATGAGAAAAAATCGAAGTTAGAAAAATGTTTTTTTGCAGTAATTTGAATAGTTTGCATTTTAATACATATAGTTTGCGTCAGCCTTTTTAATTTAATAAATGTGTATTTTTGGAGCTTTGCTGCCTTTGATGAATATTTAATATACATATAGTTTTAAAACTAAAATGTCCTGTTTGTTGCCTTTTAAAAATTAAGAGTTCAATATCGTCTATATGCTTGTCAGTGCAGTTTGGCATTTATCTATGCAAATTTAAGTTCCTATAGTTTTGCAACTGAACTTTGGTGGTTGATTTATGAGGTTACACGAGACCACAAGAACGCAAGAGTAAACATTTTGAGAAACAGTCTGTTTGCCTAGAACATGAATGTCACAGGTAGATAATGTCAAGAAGTATTCTTGCATGTTCTTGTTTGACACGTCTGGACTCATAGAGTCTGAGATTATAAAAACTGACATCTTACAGTGTGGCATGGGAGTCATGTTCATGCAGTAGAAAAGGCTTTTGAGTTCCACACAATTCCTTCATGTTTTTTCATGTTAACTTAATCATTTTTACAAATTTGAGTAGATATAAAAACATAAAAAACATAAAACAATTAAGTTGTCCCCAACAAAACTTATGCAGGGTTTCTGCAGGTTTCACAAAGTCAAATTTAAGGTTTTTTAAGACCATCAGGAATGAAATTTCAGACTCATATATGATTAAATGCAAAGGATTTACTTAATGGCCCTGCAAATGAAAAAAAAGACTTGCCCCATGAAGAAACAAATTCTAATTACTAATTTTTTATCACATATTTTAAACAAAGTATCAAATCAAGCAGACCCAGTTGTACACATGCAAAAAATGCAATTTTATGTAAAGAATTATAATGTATATAATAAACAATAAATAAAACTAATCGTAATTTTGCTAAAAGTTTTTTTAAGATTGTTGGTGATCGGATGTGTGTTGGAAGGAAAAATAAGACCTGTTTAAAACGATTAAAAAACTACAATACAATACAATATTCATAATTCAGTGAATTTAAGATGAGAACTTTTAAAAGACATTTTGTTCTTAAAGACTTTTTAAGACCCTGTGGACACCCTGTTAATCCAATTCATTCTAAATAAGTAGATTGAACAAGCAGCAAAAGTAATTTTTGAGTGTCTCATCTAGAATTATTAGGGCTTTAGTTACTTTAGAGACAAACTAATTAGGAAAGTAATTTCAATACAATTTTTATTATTAGTTTGTTATTTATTACTTTTTTGAAGTAACTTACCCAACACTGCCCTAGAGTTAGAAAGAGACAGCTTTTGACAGCCTGCCGCATGCCTTGTCCTATTTATGTTTTCAAAGTGGTGCCGAATGTAGCTTCTAGCACTGTCGCCGATCTTACAAAGGGATTGATGTCTATTTCAAGCCATGTTTCTGTTCTCACACAGGGTGAGGACGTTTCCGAAGGAGTCGACTTCGCTGGGACGAGACACTGTGCGGGCTCTCATGTATTATGCCCTGAAAGTATGGAGTGACATCGCGCCTCTCAACTTTCATGAGGTGGCGGGGAATGAGGCCGACATTCAGATTGACTTCACCAAAGCAGACCATAATGACGGATACCCCTTTGATGGGCCCGGCGGCACAGTGGCACATGCCTTCTTTCCTGGAGAGAGATTCACTGCTGGAGACACACACTTTGATGATGATGAAGCCTGGACATTCAGAGCACCAGGTAAGACGGCAAGAGAATGGATGAATGATTGAGTCAGAGTTTCTTGCTTTTATAATTTGTTCTCTGCATTTTTTTGGTTTGTTTGTTTTATAAAAGTCAGTGGTCTCTAATGTGTATATATACGAGGGGGTGTGCATCTCAGAACTGAGGCCAATGTGATACGCATCTTGATGTATCTAGCAATACAATACATAAAATATTCAGCTACTGATACGATCTAATTCAATCTTAGCATAATGCAGTACAATATGATTTAGAGTCTATTAAAACATTATGCAATTAGATGCAGAACATTCCAATGGATATAAATATGATCACTTTTTTATCGCTAACTGTCAGGTTAAGCTCAGATCCTGACTAATAGGAAAGCTGGGATATAACACTTGATTCTATTGAATAGCCTACTTTTATAGCCAAGCAGATTCTCTATTTGGTTTTATGACAGGCTTGCCTGTTGTAATTTGCTATACCAATAGCAGAACACTTGAACATTATGATCTAAAACTGCTCTTAAATACATTAAAAAAGCAAAGGGTTGAAGAAAAACGAGGATCTGAAGAAAATCTAAATATCTTAAATACATTAAATACCACAATTATTTTTGCTATTTGCTGTGGTGGATCAATTAATTGATGGACTCGGGTCTTCGCAGTGTTGTGATACGTCATGTTCACGCAATAGAGGTGATGACAGAACATGCTTGAGAAACGGTTTAGACTGGAGAAAACAATCTACATATAAAATATTGGTCAGATTATTGTTCATGTGCAGTACGGTGACTAAGTGGCTAGCAATGTTGCCTCACAGCAAGAAGGTTGCTGGTTCGAGTCCTGGCTGGGTCAGTTGGTGTTTCTGTGTAGAGTTTGCATGTTCTCCCTGTGTTGGAATGGGTTTCCTTTGGGTGCTCTGGTTTCCCCCACAGTGCAAAGACATGCGCTACAGGTGAATTAAGTAAGCTAAATTGGCCATAGTGTATAAGTGTGTGTAAATACAAGAGTGTATGTCGTGACCCCTGATAAATAAGTGACTAAACCAAAGGAAAATGATGAATGAATTATTGGTCATTTTAAACAGTAGTGTTGTGCATGAATAATTTTTACAGATGCAAATATGTTAGGCATGATGCATCGTGATTTAAATGCCAACCTGTATCTGACAGAGTTTTTAATCTGATGTATTACATTGTTCATATTTTACAAATGCATCAAGCAAATCTGGGAGTCTTTCAATCCCTAATATACACCAACATAAAAAAAAAAATAATAAAAATAAAATGTAAAAAAAAAAAAAAATATATATATATATATATATATATATATATATATATATATATATATATATATATATATATATATATATATATATATATATATATATATATATGTATGCTGTATGCAAGGCTGCATTTATTTGTACAAAAAGAGAACAATACATTTGTAAATATTAGGACTATTAAAAAAAAAAGACTTTCAAATTTTAAATAAATCATGAAAAAATGTCATCAAAACATTTTGTTATGGCACAGCTGAATTTTTAGCCATCATTTGCTTGTTATGATTGAAAATTAGGGATTTTCCACCAAATTCAATTAAATTCAATTAATCTGTAATTTTATATCATTTTTTCAATCTAGATTGTGTCAAAGCAGCTTAACATAGAAGTTCAAGTAAAACTGAAACTGCTTCAGTCCAGTTTCAGAGTTGAAGATCAGTTTAATTCAGTTCAGTGTAATGTAAATCTCACTACTGAAAGCCAATCCAAAGATGCGCAGCTCCACAAGTGCAAATATTGATTTCTTCAAATGGCATTGAGTTGAATGTAAACATGTCTGAAACAATGTCATCCTAAAAAAAATGTCAATATGGTAGTTATGTATCAATTTTGGTTTATTCAGTAAAATACAGATGACATGTCTTCCCAGTTTTTTTTATTAAAATTTTATCATTTGAATCTTTGGTTCCACTTCATATTGTGTACTTAACTACTTTTGTACTTCAAAATATAAATACAGTGTACTTAATGTCTTTATATTGTATTGTATAACACTTCCAGCAATGTTCAGTTGGGATATAGATCAGGATTAGGAAAGCTTTAGTGGTTTGATGGTTGGTTGTAGTGTAAGGCATCATAAGCAGTGTAATTATAAATGCAATTACAGAAAATATTACAGGTATAAATACAATGTAAAACATGTATTTACACAATAAGTACATTGTAACAATTGATCACTTTCAATGTAAGTACAGCTGAAATCAGAATTATTAGCCGCCCTTTGGTTTTTCTTTTCTTTTTAAATATTTTCCAAATGTTGTTTAACAGAGTTTCCCCATTGATGGGTTGTGGCTGGAAGGGCATCCGCTGCGTAAAAACTAGCTGGATAAGTTGGTGGTTCATTCCGCTGTGGCGACCCTGGATTAATAAAGGGGCTAAGCTGAGAAGAAAATGAATGAATGAATGTTTAACAGAGCAAGGAAATTTTCACCGTTTGTTTGATAATATTTTTTCTTCTGGAAAATGTCTTATTTGTTTTATTTCGGCTAGAATAAAAGCAGTTTTTAATTTTTTAATAATTTTAAGGTCAAAATTATCATTTTATACAACTATTATTTTACAATAACTTGCCTTACTACCCTGTTCTGCCTAGTTAACCTAATTAACCAAGTTAAGCCTTTAAATGTCACTTTAAGCCGTATAGAATTGTCTTGAAAATATCTAGTAAAATATTATGAACTGTCTTAATAGCAAAGATAAAAGAAATCAGTTATTAGAAATAAGTTATTTAAACTATTATGTGTAGAAATGTGTTGAAAAAAAAACTTCTCTCTGTTAAACAGAAATTGGGGGGAAAATAAACAGGGGGTTGGGGGGTAATAATTTAGGGGGGTTAATAACTCTGATTTCAACTGTACATATTAGTTAAGGATACTTAATATAAATATATATATATAGATTTTTTTTGTATTAAGACAAAAAGATACTGTCTTTCTATATTTAATATTATACAGCACAATTCCACAAGCAAAAGTATATCAATTTTATCAATCTTTAGGGATTCCGAATCATTGTAAAATGATTGACAGGCAGAGATTGTCTCTGATTGGCCAAGAGTCTGACAGGCTAAAAAGAAGAGCTGCTGTCTAGGACTGTCACACAGGCAGGTGTGATTTCTCCTGACACTTTTATTTTTCCAATAACGCCTGTCAAGTAATAGAGACATTTTGTGTGCAGTATTCCAAAACAGCACCCGGAGCCCAATAACCAGTCTGAAAGCAACAGATGCCGCTTCCTATCACAGTTCCTCACTCTTCACTCATGGGCCCTAACCTGACTCGACCACCTCCAATGCACTCCTCCTTATATACCAAAGGTGCACATGTTTGCAGAGAGCTACACTACCCACAGTGCTGATAATTAGCATTATCCCAACCTGCACAGTGAGTGAACCCTGATGGGATTGGTTCAAACGACCCTTTGCATCCTTGTTTGGCCCTCTTGTGGCTGCAGGCCATATGCTCGTGGACAGCCGTAGAGTCTGCCCCAATTAAACCCCCCGTCAGACGAGCAGCTGTTTGCTTAGGCCTTTTGGCAGGTGCAGATGTAATATGAAGGATTGAATGCAAAGAAAAAGGGAGGGAAAAGCCCTACTTAAAAAAAAATCACCAGCCTTTCAGCACCCACTTACACCGTCTCGCTTATACCCACAGCTGAGCGTCGTCCTCCCTTGCTCCGTCTCTCAGCACCACTTCACCTCTTTGTGTGTGTCCAACTGACCCTTCACCGAAACACGGCCGTTTGCATGTTTTCGCTTCATTAGCCGTCCATCTAATGACCACCTGCACCTGGACCTCCCATATGGTCATCAATTATTCCTGACTCGTCATCAGTGGATATTATTCAGCGCGGGCTGTTGTAGCAGACCCAAGATTTTTACTTTGGCCAAAAGCAAGCTAATTTATAGTGTTATTTTTGGCTTTCCGTCCACCCTTTGAGACTGAGCAACGAGGCTTTTTTTTTTTTTTTTAGAGATGCACCAATCAGCTGGCTAGAAATCAGGAGCCAGACAGTTTCTCCTTTATATGTTTTATTTCTACCAGACTCTTTACTGGACTTGCACACAGAATCCATTCCAATCATTCTATATTACAAACGTGGGCAGTACAGTGGCGCAGTTGGTAGCACAAAGGCCTCACAGCAAGAAGGTTGCTGGTTCGAGCCCGGGCTGGGTCAGTTGGCGTTTCTGTGTGGAGTTTGCATGTTCTCCCCTTGTTCGCGTGGATTTCCTCCGGGTGTTCCAGTTTCCCCCACAAGTCCTAAGACATGTGGTACAGGTGAATAGGTAAGCTAAATTGTTTGTAGTGTATATGTGTGATTGAGTATGTATGGATATTTCCAAGGGATTGGTTGAAGCTGGAAGGGCATCTGACGCGTAAAACATGTGCAGGATAAGTCGAACAAAGCCGAAAAGAAAATGAGTGAATGAGTCTGTAAACGCAGTGTTAACAGAGATGCTGAAGTTGGAGGACAGATGTACTAGTTGAGTGGTTCTCAAACTTTTTTCATCAAGAACCACCTCAGAAAGACTTTGTACCACTTTAATGACGAGGCAGATTAGTTCCTATTATTAAGAATATTTATTATTGCCAGCCACTTTAAACATTATAAAAGGTTTGAACATTAACATTGTACTGTACTTATAGGTTAAAAAACAAAGAAACAAAATAAAAAGTCAACGTTTACATTGCATTCAGAAAGTATAGCTCTTCTCTTTTTCCACATTTTTTATGTTACAGCTTTATTCCAAAATGGATTAAATTGATTTATTTTCTCAGAATTCTACACACAATACCGCATAAAGACAATGTGATTATTTTTTTTATTTGTTGCAAATTTATTAAAAACCTGAAAAATCACATGTACATAAGGATTCACAGCCTTTGCTCAATACTTTGTTGATACACCTTTGGCAGCGATTACAGTCTCAGGTCTTTTTGAATATAAAG